GTTTTCATATGCGATCACCACTTAAGTTTACCTAAACACATATCCATTCTCAAAGAGCGATGTGAAAAGAAAAGTTAGATTAAGAGGATGTGAATGTCATTTGGTGAAACCACATGAATTCTATCTATCTTGTTCATAGTGTATGACGCTTGTACTCACAAAGACATGCATATATGTACCTGGCAATTGATAAGCCAACATTACAACGCTGTGATAAGCCTCTATATTTGACTGATGCCCCTTTTGTTTCGAGATAAAAAATGTTACAACTAGCATGGAGCCGAAAGAGAACCCAGAATACAGCAGGCTAGGCTTCTGAACGATTTGTAGTCCCGCGTCGAGTTGCGAGAGGGGGTATGCAAGAAGAAAATGAACGCAAAAGTAAGCCGGACATGACGGGCACAGTGGAACGGGTGATCCAAACACGAGCAGCGGATGCAGAGCCTTCGAAAAGGAATGGCAGTGTGGATGTGGATTTGACAAAAGAGACCGAAGACTACGAGGACGATCCGTTGGACAACTTTCAGTACGCCGCCCGAACAAAAGGAAAAATGAGTGTGTGACAGTAGACAGCTTTGAGCAAAGAAAAAGTGTGATATTAGAAAAAACTTGGTAAGCAGATGCATATGCTCTTTACATGCAAGGCAGACAAGGGTGGAGCGACAGAAGGGGAATGCAATCATCTTCAGTTCAGAACCAAAATATAGCAGATGTGAAGGAAAAGGCGCAAATGGACAGCTCGAATGTTCAAAGTAGATACAACGAGGATGTGAACGAAGACGAGAATATTGATGACTCAAGAAGTGCAAACAAAAAGGTAGATTTGAAGAGCAATCAAGTCATAATGGACGGTTTAACTCTTGTACCTTTTCGGATCGAAACTTTTTGGGGTGAACGCATTGTTGTCCAGGGATGTCATATCGCTACTTTGAAACCCAACAGATGGTTGCATGGGACCATTATCGATTTCATGTTGTAATCAACTTTAGACGAAGCATCTGTGGACCAAAGCAAATATCCTGTTTTCGTGTGCACATGGTTCTGGCACGAATTGATACGAGCAAAACAACCGGTGCACAAGATGAAATCGGAATGTGAAGATAGATTGAGGAAAGAAAGACAAAAAGGGCTGATTTTTTCGTTTGCATCCAGGATTTGAAATAGCAGATTGGTGATAGTCCCCATCTGGCATCGCGGATATTGAACTCGGTTGGTGATGATAAACATAGGGGACTTTGTAAAAGGAGTTCCGAAAGCTAGTAGATACAAACCGACATTGATTCATATGAACTCTCTTCGGAATAAATACAATCCGAGCTGGGATGCACTACGTAGCTGGGTCTTCGATGAATTCTATCTTCGCAATTCAGGAGGACGTGGCAACAGATCAACCAAAGGTGGAGGATCATGGACCATGTGTAGAGACATGTTTCGAAAAAACATGGTAAAAGTTGACTATCTGCAGCAACAAAATGAAGACGATTGCGGTGTGTACTTATGCATCAACACAGAACGTCTCATCAAACACTTCAGCGACCGACCACTTGTCGACGAAATAAGCACGGACGAGGTAATGGTGGTTATGGACATACTGAAAAGAGAAGAAAACCGGACAAAGCAAAAGCGTAAGGAGATGGTAGAATACACTACGAGATATGTCGCAAGCAAGAACAGGATTGAGGACGCGAAGATTGATAGCACTATCAAATCGTTAATGACACTGAAGGGCAAAGACGATGACACTTAGTCATAATGTGGCCATGAACAGATGTTTCATGACAGAGCACATGTGACATGCTCAGAACATTGACACCATTTCATTGTGTTTCCTCGGTTGCAGGGTTGAGTAGAAAGAGAGTCCGATATCGTTGTAAAGTCGTTGGTCATCGAAGGATCGTGGGTAGTGTAGAAATGGCAACGAGGACAAAATACGACGACATCTGCAGAAAGAGAGGTGAGCAAAGAAGCAACTCAGCTCGGTTCAATGAAGAAGTCGACGTGCGTCGGGCAAGAGGAGCAAGACACATGAGCAATATAAAGGTAGATCGTGCCAAAGAAGATGTGAAAAGCACAACTGATCTTCGGCAACGGTTCAGGGAGGAGTTCAAGGAGAAAGGCAAAGGTGGGATCGACGGGATGTCTTCAACCCCGAGATGGAATATGGAACAAAGGAGGGAGGAGGGAACAACGATGCCCGCCGCATCACGGAAGGCAAAGAAATTGCGTCTGGAGGAGGAGAAGGAGGATGTCATCATTGACAACCCACACAGAGTTCAATCCGCGCAACGCAGGGAGAGAACAACCCTTGGGGGGGAGGTGGAAGACGTGTGGAAAACAAATGCACAAGAGCAGGAGACAAAGGTTCACCGAGGAACAGAGAGGCTAAACATGACAACAAAAGTTTCAGAGAAAGGGAACTGAAAACACACCCCTATCAGTCACGTAGACAAGAACACGAAGTTTATCCTGCGTCGCAGGAGGTGGAGGAAAATACGGATAGAGAAAACGAGCATTCGGAACACACACGTTCACAAACAGAATCACAAACAAGTCCGGCTCAGGGTCGACAGAATGACTATGAGGAAGATGATTCTGATAAAGGAGGAAAGGAAGTCACAGGGGAAGATATGGATGACGAAGATGAGCAAGATTGTGACAACTCCAATGAAACGACGAAGCTGCGCGAAGAGAAAACATGTAAATGTCATTCCATGAAAGACATTCGCAGCATAACAAATAGTGTTCTTCCTTTGCATAACCAATCCAGTGGGTATGTCATACGCAAAAAAAAAGACAAAAAAACTAGAATACAATCATGAATGTTCCTTGTCCTTTCATGTTATCTTTTACATTCTCTAACTGCGATGTAAAAAACTCCGTTTGTTTCAATGGGCGCAGGAAAAGCGGACAGGAAGGGACGAAGTCGCTTTCACAACAGGAACTCAAACCGGAATCAGAATGTCGCAGATCACCAGGACGAGATGAGGTTGACGAAAAAGATGAAGGACAGGATGATGCGGTGAGTTGCAAAGGCATACGCTTTTATGTCTGCTCGTGACTCGACATTCTACCCACAGGATGAACATTTTCTCAAGTCGTTATATACGATGGCAGAAAATATAGGAGAATGGGCATCTACAGGGTTAAGAACATATGTGGAGTCGTGCGGCGTACGCCATGTCCTGATTGAATGTAACAGGATCATGACGACCGTTAGAGGGGAAATATAATGGAGGTTAAAACACTAGTTTTGGGCTGAGAAGGGATACCCTTTAGTGACTTTTAAACAAACAGACAAACAACAAGACATGCGACAGCGACTGAGGGAGGAAATGATGAAGAACAATTCGTGGAGGCGGAAGGTCAACGAGCCATGGGGTGATCTGGCGTTCGAAGTGTGCTTGGCAAGGGTGTTCTTTCACACGAGGAAAGACCACGGAACTGGTGTGTCATTGCAGCAACTTGCATTCGCTGAGATGGTAATTAAAAACGAGGTATTCCAATGTTCTAAACAAACTAGAGTGGAAGAAAAAACCGCGGAGTTGGCAGCAATTAAAAGAGATGTAATTGCATCGTTGAGGCGCGAAACACATTCGTATCCTTCAACATATTCAACCTTGATCGATCAACGGATGTGGCTGCTAAAGCACTCATGTTGTTCAGAGCAGGGTTGCCGGCAGTGCAGTAGGAAGACATTCGTGCAAGATTGTTCACTGATGCTGACTACACGTTTCAACACAAGGCTGCTTCGTTGGCGGATGAGGGGTACATATGAAGACAAGCTTCAAAATATATGATTGGACACGATTTTATATCGTAAATAAAGGAGTGCTGCTGCAAGGGAGAAATTCGTGATTTCCGGATAGATAGATAGATAGATAGATAGAGAGATAGATAGATAGATAGAGAGATTGCGATGGATAGATGCATATACAGATATGCAGAGAGAGAGAGAGAGAGAGAGAGAGAGAGAGAGAGAGAGAGAGAGAGAGAGAAGCGAAAGGTGAAAAATCCAGTGCGGATCCCATTTCACTGCTCTACTTGTGTGCTAAACTGTTGAGGCGTTGTTAGACACGCCTTCACAGGACAAACAGTTTAAGTACAATGTAGATGAACTGATGTTGTGCCAAAAAAAAAAAAAGGGAGACAGCTCTGTCAGAACATGGAATCCGACAGTTGGAACTGTGGCAGTTCAAACTATGCTCCTTTTTTTTTTTTTTTAACTCTTCCCGCGTGGTTTATGTAAGTCTTTAATATAAACATGAAGATGTCGTGAGAAACACCTTTTTATAGGCGAAATGTATCGTTCAGATTTTACTAGCATCTCTCTCTCTCTCTCTCTCTCTCTCTCTCTCTCTCTCTCTCTCTCATTTTTATTTTTGTTTTTCCTCTCTCTCTCATTTCTCTATCTCTCTCTCATTTTTATTTTTTTTTTTCTCTCTCTCTCTCTCTCTCTCTCTCTCTCTCTCTCTCGAGACTTTCCATTTGTAAACCAGTGTACAAAGGATGGGTAGTAATCATCTTATATGATACGCACATTTTTTTTTTTTATAGTATTTGTTTTCTGTTTGTCGTTTGCAACGTACACTCCTCCAAAACATGGGAGTCGACAGGTGCGTTGCGAAATCAGAAAAATGTGAGCTACATGACAAAAAAGGTAACGCACCAACCGACCTTTGCAGCATCGAAGAGGAAAACGGTGCCACGACAGGAACTATTGCAACAATATAGAGATAGTGACAAATAGGCAAGGATTGGGAACTAAGGGGCGAGGGGATGGGAAGGCGAAAGGGGGATAGGAGGCAGAAATGTTTGTCGTGCTTTGACACAGACGTGGCAACATCACCCCCGAAGCATGCCTGTGCCTTGGCACGTGGGAAAAAAACGCACTGTTGCCATTACGTAACCATGGAGAAAAATAAAATGTACATAGTCATGTTTTTTAGGAAAATGAGAGAAAGTGGGCAGCAATGACAACAGAGACACACACAACAACACCATGGGGTTTAAAGTCCGAAAGAGAATTTTTTTTTGGTAATTTGTTTTAAAGTTGGACAAGTGTTTATAGTGTTTATAAACGGTTGAGGCCATTGGTAAACAAATTTTAAACTGATTTTCAACACAAGCTCAACGGATTATAAACAGTTGATCTGATGCCATCCCCTGAAATCATCGTTGCATCAAGAAAGATTTCCATGGTTTTCCATGTGTTCATCAAGAAACCCTCATTAAATCTATTTATAATCTGTTAAAATTCAGATTAAATTAGTACTTCTCCCTGAAAATTTTTGTTGTTTTCAAGCTGTATTTTTTCTGTTGAAGATACATTCTCGTAAATGCCAGTGTGATCAGGGTGACAATCCTCTGAGGGAACACAACTCGAGAAGATCACGGATTCAGATTGTCGGGTTCCAGAAAAAGAAAACAAGAAGAAAAAAAATGGAAACACGGATTCAGCCTTGAAAACGGCTGGATACATCAGGGTTACAATCATCTGAGGAAACACAGCTATTGCAGATCACGGATTCCGTCCTGCCTCGTTGGCAGGGGACACATAAAAACAACTACAACAACAACAACAACAAGTTTCAGAATGTGACCTTCTTTGTTGTAAGATGCATTTAAGACTGTGAGCACATCCTCCTAAACTACCCTGCCCGACATCATTGCAACACAAAGGCCTTTTTTTTTTTCCTTTTCCTTTCGTGCACAGGCAAAATAAAACTACGATTTTTGGGACATTGCCGACCCTGTGTCCGACCCCCGAAAACTTCGGGTACTGGCCAGGACAACGTAATTTCCCAACACTGGCGGAGGTACTGGTGGTTTAATAGAATGCCTTCAGAATTAAGAGGAAGATACCTTACATTACAAAGAACTCATAAAACAAACGTTAGAAAAAAAAATATTTTTTTTTGTTTCAGAATAAGTTTTTGCAGGATCCCTAGTCCCTCCAGGTTCAGGTCCCGTACGGGGACCTGAACGCCCGAACATTTGAGGATCAACTTAGGAACCTGCATACGTTCGCCCTGGCAACCCTGATTATAGGCTCGCAGCCAGGCTGCTCGGGTGACCTTGTTTTCCTGGGCGACCCGACCATGCATGGACTACAGAAGGTTCAAAGAATAAAAATAAAAATTAAAAACAATATATATATATATATATAGATACAGGGTCACCAGGCCGTACGTACGGAGGTCCCCGGGCAGACCTCCGTACGTACGGGCGTTCAGGGTCCCGTACGGGGTCCGAACCCGACGGCGTTCGGCCCCCTCCAAAAATTATTTCGGGGCCTAAAAATTCATTTTTTTTCTGAATTGTTTTTTTTGCGTTCTCTATGACGTGAGGTACATGCCTATAAATGATCAAGTTATTTGGATCAGCCAAATAAGACTTAAAAATCGCCAAAGATGGCGGTGTCAAAACGTGCTCGCCCACGTTTTTTTTTCACTTTTTACTTTTTGTTTTCACTTTAGTTCGGGGTCTAAACAATTTTATTATTTTTTGAAACTTTTTTAGTGGGTTTTGGACTATGTGAAGTACACATCTGTAAATTTTCAGGGCATTTAGCTGTGCCAAAAAAAAAAAAAAAATCGCCAAAGATGGCGGTGTCGAAAACATGCTCGCGCACTCACTAAATTCAATTCTCTTTTTATTTTTATTTATTTTTATTATTAGTATTTATTTTCCGTATTTTATTTTTATTTCAAATTTGGTAAGTAATTCGGATGTAATGTTCAGGCAAATCTTGTTTATTTTATTTTTCTCCATAACATTTGTTTTTTTCAGATTTTTTTAATGATGTTTTTTTTTTTTTTTGGGTCCGCGTTCGGCCCGAATGGCCGAACGCATTCCCAAGGGGTCCCATACGGTCGGGCGTTCGGGTTCAGGCGTTCGGCCGTAACCCTGTATATATATATATATATATATATATAATTCATACTGGATTTCCAGCATTACTTATTGAAAACCGGATTAGAGGATTAGAACATCTTCGACGAGACATATATATATATATATATATATATATATATATATATATATATATATATATTTTGGCCTGGGCGGGCAAGTGACCCCAGACCCAAATGGGTAAGTGTTTCCCGATGACTCTGGTAACCTTTTTTCTTAGGTAAATCATTTTGACAAGACCCTGAGCAAAACTTATTCAATTTATTTTGCTGATAAACATATATATATATTTTTTATAGGCTACTAGTTGAGCCGCCCGATTCACATTGTTTATAGGCTATTAGCTGAAAAAATCATTTATAGGCTACTAGGTCATCCCCCCCCCTAAAAAAAATCAATCCAAAATATATGAGAAGTTAAAAACAAATTATGTTATGTAGAGAAATAAACTTAAAGACTTTTGCATCAAGGTGACATCAAAAACTTTTACAATGTTTCTTTTAGTTAGATTTTTTTTTTTTTTTTCGTCCGGCCAGTTGGTCTTGGGCCCCTTTGGTAGCCTAGTTTTTTTTTTTCTTATGGGATCTCTCTCTCTCTCTCTTTCTCTCTCTCTCTCTCTCTCTCTCTCTCTCTCTCTCTCTCTCTCTCCAGCTGATAAATACTGAAGTAAGTTTATTTTTTTATGTTACTTGTACCAAACATTTGAGTTGGATGTCCAAAATCCTACTTATCGAAGATTATGAACATCTGGTTTGCCATAATTTGAGAGGTATGACTTGTTTTTTTATACGTGACAGACCAAAAATATCCAATTTAATATAGACAGCCGCAACGGGTGC